CCGGGAGGTCTCCTTGTCGGGCTAAAAAAGAATACACCTGTGAGATGAGTACCGGTTAGAAGAAAGGTGGGCCACGTACTCCATTTCTTTGCATGCCCTGAAATTCTAGAAGTCGTAGAATTTTAGGCAAAATATGACAAATTAGTGAGTGCTATAGATTTTCAGGGAAGGGAGAAACCAGTTTCACTGGCCAGCTGCGTGGACGAGCTGGAGGAGGCCTTGATGGGTGGGCAGAAGTTGGGAGGCTGAGGAGACAGAAGCCTTCCCTTTCAGAGGGGAACCAATCTCTCAGCCCGACGAATCACCCAGGAATTATTTAGCACTTCCTGAAGTGGAAGGCTCTGTGACTTCACACAAAGGGGGATACTAAGAAGCAGAGGATACAATATCTGTTCTCCAGGAACTTTCTGTCTAGCTGAGGGACAAGACATATGTTGAATAGTCATATAAGTGGAAAAGTGTAAGTTGATTTTTTCAGATAAGCCTAAAGAAGAGTGCAGTAGAAATCAAGAGATGAATCACAAAACAGAATGTAGTAACAATATTAACGGCCGTGTCCCCAACGTCTTCTGTGTCCACGCGGCCATGTGCTGGATGCTGTAATAGCTGCATCATCACACAGCAGCTTTTACAGTATTGGTCACCCTTGTTCCAGCCACCAACTCCTGAACGCCTGCCTACTCTCTGCTTGGCAGCCCTGGGCTGTGTGTTTTACACACAACTCATTTACCCCTCCTAGGGAGCAGGTATATTAACTGTTTTACAGATGAGAAAACTTCAAAGAGTTTAAGCAACTTGCCCAAGACCCTCAGGTGTGTGCCCATGTAAATGAACTTGGGTGCAAAAATGAACAGTGTGAATATCAACCAGACTGGGTGGCTGGGAGAGATAAGGCTGGACAGGTAAGGAGGACCTGGTTATAAACACCTGTGTGAAAAGCTTGGCGCTGATCATGGAGGTGTTGAGGAATTATTTAAGGTATGACAGGATGGACATTGACGGTGATCAATTGGCAGGATGGCTTGAGTGAGGAGGCTGTGGCAGGAACACAGACTGAAGCCACTGGGGTCTATAGGAGGGAGTGGCGGTGGGAACGTGCCCGGCTAAACCAAGTAATGAAAATCCTCACAGCCCATCAAACTTAATTAAAATCAAATAAACACTCCAGCCAACCCACCTCATACCAAGTAGGGGTAGAGATTCCAGATCGTTACTAGGGTATTAGCGTTGTTCTCAATATAGCTGCAGGGACATAAAGCTTCATTATTATATAACATTTGTAAAATAGAATATGCTCTGTGTTGATAGGCTCCTCTGCACATTTATGGTTTCTGCCCTCAGCTAGGTCCTCGGTGCCCCATCGTTGACTCTTTTCTCACCCCCTTTTCGTTTCTCCCCATTGCAGTTATTCCAGTATTTTTCCATTTACCTGAAAACCCTCTCCATCCTCTCCCTCTCCATACATGATTTCACCCCAAACTTATTCAAGAAAAATCAAAGCCGTGAAACACATAACTTCTCTGTCATTCCTGCCCTCTGACCCATCAGGGCAGATGCCGCTTCTTCAGAGGCCCCGCCCCTGCCCACTCCATCTAATACTGTCCGTGTATGACTCTCACATCACTCTTGTGTATTTTTTCCCCCACAGTGCATACAGCCATCAGAAATTATCGTTATGTATTTATTCACCTGTCTTTTGTCTGGCTTTCCCCTTGGAATGTAAGTTTCATGGAAGCACAGACCTTGCCTGCGTTGGGTACTGCAACATCCAGTCCCCAGCACTTCGTAAGCGCCCGGGACATGGAAGTTGCTCAGAAGTAGAGATGAATGCGTGAATGCCCGTGGCTTCAGCCATGATTCAGTATCCCATGATTTGATCTTCCTCTCTCTCCCTGACTATCCTACTGCCTACTCCACCCCACCTGGATGTGCCCCGTCAAACTTATATCCAAAATGAACTCTTCTTCCTCTAAAGCTGTTTGTTCTTCTCAGGATTCACTCTGATTTAAGCAAAATCTCAGGGTCATCTTTGGCTCCCCTCTCTCCTCACCCCCACATATACTTAGTACTATTGACTTAACCTTGGCAATGTCTCTGGACTCTGTCCCCTCTTCCATTTATCTCTCATTCATGCAACATGAGCGCTAATGGGAACACTGGCAGGAGATTCCTAGTTGACTTACCAACGTCTTTCCTGTCTCCCCATGTCAGGCTATCCCTCCCCACAGGGAGAGCTTTGCATAGTTCAGTTTCTTTATACTTTCAACAGCTCCTACTGATTATAGAATCCATCCATCCATCTATCCATCCACTATTTTCTGAGGGCCAGCCCTATGCAGCACTGTGTGAGGTGCTGGGGTATAGGACTGAGGGCACAGTCTTTGCCTTCATATCAATTTTCAATCTTGTGGGTGGGGTCAGATATAAACAACCAAAATCATTCAAGTGTTACAGGTGCTTTTTATTCATTCATCAAATATTTATTGAGCTCCTACTATGTGCCACACACTGAGGGGGCTGGAGATATAACAGCCAATAAAAGCAAAACCCCTGACTTCATGAACTCATATTCTAATGGAGGAGACGAACAGCAGACAAATACACAAGTATAAATACTATGGAGAAAAGTAAAAGTGTGGTAAGGGGCATGTGTGAGTTTGATCTCTTGTGGAGGCATGTTCAGAGATGTCTTCACAGAGAAGGTGATGATTGAGCAGAGCCCTGCAGGATGGGAGTGAGTGGCATCTGCAGATATTTGCCGGGGGGGAACAACATTTCAAGCAGAGGGAATGGCTAACACCCTGTGCCAAGGCCCTGGGCTGGAGAGTGAGCTTTGGCTAGTGTGTACAGGGCCCGGGGATACAAGGGAGGAAAAGAATCTGTCTTCCATGAAGGGACCAGGGGGCCCTTCTCAGAGGAGGATGCCAAACTCCCTAGCCAGACATTCACAATTGACCTCCTGTTTGACCACCTGTCCATGGACTCTGAGCCTGAATCATGCCAGACCATGGACTTCCTGCCTCCAGGCCTCTGCTTCTCTGACATTCTCTGTGCGGACTTCCTCCTCTGACCCCCACACCTCTGCCTGATGAACCCTTCTAATTTCCACTCACCCTTCATGACCTGAACCTCCTCTAGGCAGAACCAGTCGCCCCTCTGTGGGTCCCATAGCACTTTGTTCATGCTAGTGGAGCACTCAGCACAGTGACATCTGTGAGCTGTGTCTGTGCCAGTCACTTCCACCTGCCAGGGCGCCTCGTGAATGGGAACCGTATCTTAGATGTTTCTTGGCTTCCAGCACTTTGTACAGTGTTGGGCACACAATAGGTAGTTTAATGCACATTTGAAGCAAATACTGTTGGAAAACATCTGGTTTTGTTGCCACCTTTCTCTCTAGACATGCTGGCAGACATACATGCCCTTTTTCTACACATCAGTTGCTCCTTTTTTTGTTTTAAAGAGTCTCATAGTTCCTAATGAAAGCAACAGGGTCATGAAATTAATTTGTCACTCTGGTGCCAGCTTCACTCAGCTGACTCATGGCCTGGGAAAGGTTTTTTTAAACATATGTTTTTCATCTATGTGCTAATTTCTCTTCCCTTTCTCAGTCATCTTCTTTGCCCCTTAAACTTGTGGGTGGTAACAGCCTTCAGGTCTGGTGGCTCCTGCTCCTCCTCCTGCGAGCAGATGTTTTCCAGCTTTGGGCCTGAGAGGAGGGGAGGGGGGGCCCTGACTTGGGAGAGTGAAACAGTGAAAATGAAATGAGATTTCCTTCCCCCTTGAAATTCACTAGAGCTTATTTGTTTGAGAAAGGCCTGAAATACGTAAATATCAACATACATAAATGTGTGTGTGTGTGTGTGTGTGTGTGTGTGTGTGTATCTATGTGCTCTAACACATGTTTTTAAAGGAGTTCCATGAGTGTTTTCCCTCCATGATGGAAAGAGAAGAATATTTTCAGGTGCCCTGGAATTAATTTGTTAATTCAGCAAATATTTACTGAGCACTTAGCTATTCTGGCTGCTAAACATAAAGCAGTGAACAAAATGGGTGAAATTCTTGCCTTTCTGGAGCTTACAGTCTAATGGGGGCAGACAGATGGTAATGTAAGTAAGTAAATAAGTGAGATGGTGGTAAGCCTATGAGGGTACTAGAACAGGGAGTGTTGGGGGAGGGCAGTTTAAAATAAGGTGGTCGGGGAGGACCTCCCTGGAAAGTAACATTTCAGAGCCAAGACAGAGGAAACCGCAAGTACCAAGGTCCTGAGGCGGAAGTGTGCCTGATGTTTCGAAGAACAGCGAGAGGGCCAGTGTGGCTGGAGCAGAGAGAGAGGAGGACAGTAGTAGAACTTGGGTTATCTTTGGAGTTGGGAACCCACCGGAGAGTTTTGACAGCATCACCCTGCCTGCTGAGTTGAGATGAAATGGTGGAAGCAGAGGCCAAGCAGGGGACCAGTGTGGAGGCAGTGGCTCAGTGAGGACCAAGGGTGGTAATTGTAAAGGTTGTACAAAGCGACTGGATTCAGAATTCCTGTTATAGACAGAGATGACAGGGTTTGCAAAGGGATTGGAAGTGGGATGTGACAACAAGAGAGGTGTCATGGATGACCCCAAGGTTTTTGGCTTGAATAAGTGGAAGAATGGGATTGCTGAGATGGCGAGGACCGTGTGGGCAGCAGGTGTGTGTGGGCTCAGCTTTGCCCTCGGTAGGCTTGAGATACTGATGCGACATCCAGGTGGAAATGTCCAATAGGCAGGGGTGATGTTGGGCCTGCCTTTGTTGGACAGCCACCCAGGGAGGAGATTAGGACACTGTCCAGTGGGGTCTCATTGGGACCTGGATACAAACTGGTTGGTCCAAAGGCACAGGGAATTATCTCTGGGTGTGTGCCATTGAGCTTTAAATTTTTTAAAAATTATTTTTTAAAGCATATTTGGATTTAATTCAAGAAATAGTACCCCTTTCCTTTCTGTCTGGCCACAGCCATCAGGTAAGCCAAGATGGGCGCTTGTAAGTACATTCAGGAGCTAGGGAGGAAAAAGCAGTCTGATGTAATGCATTTTCTTCTCAGGGTGTGCTGCGGGCAGTACCTTCAGCTCTCTGTACTCCACAGGGTCCCCTGCCCCATTCGGTCCCATAAAGCACGCAGGCTGGGATACAAGGCCAAGCAAGGTTATGTCATACATTGGATTCGTGGGTGCTCTGATGGCTGCAAACGCCCCATTCCTAAGGGTGCCACCTATGTCCATCACAGTGTTAACCAGTTAAAGTTTGCTCAAAGCCTTTGGTCTGTTGCTGAGGAGTGAGATGGACGTCGCTGGGTGGGACTCGCAGAGTCCTGAGTTCTTACTGGGTTGGTGAAGATTCTGTGTGTAAGTTCTGTGAGGTTATTCTCCCTGATCCATTCCTTAAAGCTATGAGACAGAATTATGACACCCAGTGGATCACCAAACCAGCCCAAAAGCACATGAGATGT